GCAGGACTTCAGGCTAAGGAGATGATAATAGTCCCATCTGGCCTACAAAACCTGTGACACTGTGAATTTTTAATGTATCCTTGAAAAGATGAACTTAGATGCGATGCTAGGCATTCTTCACGTCGTCTTCTCCGCAAACAGATGTCTGCGCCCTGGCTCCTGTGCATTGTAAGCGACCCTGGTGCTCACCAGATTTGGGGTTGCAGAGGACGGGGGGGCTGCTGCTGAGCGTTGGGCTACTGCTGAAGTACCCGCTGCTGCCACAGCTACTCATGCTGCTCCTCCGTACTGCCGACACGATCTTTATCTCCTTGGTGGGACTCACTACAAACAGAGAGAAAATACAGAAAGGGAACTGATATCAATTACTGAGCCCATTTCCTTGGTTTCTTTCGCTGACAACACAGACAAGGGGTTAGTGTGTTTTCCATAGTTAGAAGTGTCATTGCATGACTATGATATACTCATGTATACTGTAGCTAACATGATGGTTGCACTGGTCCCATGGCAGTGTCTTCTATTAGGCATTTCAATATAGGGAAATAATTTTTTTCCATTTTTCCTACTACTTCCTCTTTATTCTTTTGGTTCTCGCTTGATATTGCTGTACAGCAAATGCTGCAGGACCTCTTCCCCTCACTTTTACTCTTCTTGAAAACTCCACATAAAATATATGTCTAATTACTTTGGGCTGGGGGGCATTTTAACCTGTTCTGTTTGTTCATGGACACTGATTTTTGATCAGCATCTGACATGCTATTGATATAGGAGCTAAAAATTTGATAAATTGAGTGAATGGACAATCCTTATGAGCAGGGACACATGATACCCTGCCCTGCTTTTTTCAGATAACCACTACAACCCCTCGTCTGAAAAGGATTGTTTAACATCCCATGGAGTCGCCCTACCGACAGCAGTATAGTTGATGAGTCACCTGAGAGAAAACTGGTGTGTTTTCTGTTGTCATGGTTCTGCTTGCGCAGGCAAAACGGGCTGTCGTGGCTTTCTGGCATCAAGCGAGATTTCTCAGTGAGGAGCTCCATTAATCGTCGCCGGCGGCGGAAATTCATTCTGCACTGGTAGAGCAAGGTGCTGTCCATAAAATGGTGCTTGTTGGACACTGGGAAAAGAAATGGATAGAAAGTCCATGCCTGGTAGGACTGAAATGAGAGCATACCTATCTGCAATGTGTGCACTGCCCGCCTTGGTGCAAGGAAGCAAAACCCAGAGCTCCCCCTCTGCAGACTCAGAAAAAGGAGGAAGGTGGTCAGCTTCATGCAGGTAGCTTCAATATACAGGCTTTTATAGCGTCGATAACAAAGTAGAAACTTTAGTGGCCATTGCTGAGAGGAAGCTTTTACACTACCTTGATTAATGGCAAGCACTTCTTTCTGTCAAGTGGAAATGGAAGTACTTTATCTTTCCGTGACAGGTTGGATAACGGTCCATCTCCAGGCACACTCCCTCTGTATGCCGTTAGGTGCTGCCGGTCACTACAGACCAGACTCAGCTCCTTACATCGATTTTTTTTTGTATGTTCATCAGTCTAGGGCAGCCCCTGGGAGCTCTGACTGACTACCTCGTTCAGAGCTACGAGACCTGTGTATTTCCTCTGTCTTGTTCACCACAGACACCGTGTCCCAGACACTTCCTGCAGGCCACTTCCTCCCCTTCACACGGATACGCAAGGTTTGGGAACAGGCACCTGGCCAAAAAAACATTTCTTACATAATGAACAGAAGTCTTAATTACAACCTGTTTTGACGCTGAGAGCAAATCCCAGGTTGCCAGTGTGAGAGCAAGTGCGCCGAGCCAACCCGCAGACTGCAGCATCGCCGTAACATCTGCGTGTTCGCTGCCGCTGATGCTGCATCTTAATAGCGATGAAAAGTGCAGCAGTTGGACGGAGCTCCATGCCAGGCCCCAAAACTGCTCTGTCTCCTTCAGGGCTTGATCGCAGGAACTCCCTGCGTTAGTACTGCAGGATCTTAAATTGCTGCAGTAGATGTTTTGGCGGCGTTTTCTCTGTCTTCATCTAGCTCCTGTGATCACACTCCACAGAAATAATTTCCCACAGTTGACCTTCTCCATGAAGGATCTGAATTCTGGATTTACCTAGTTTATAAACTGCATTTCTTCCAATACTGAATCATAAGAACTGGTGGGTTATACATATTTATATGTAAAGTGTAAACAACAACATAGATATGCACTCAGACATCAGCCAAGTCTTACACTTGATTTGGCCTCAGCCTCCTACCACAGACACGGAACTTTTGCCTTGCTCTTGGCTCTGCCCGGCACATGAGGTCCAAAAGCAGCAGAGCCCAAGGCGTTGCAGCAGATCCGGAGCCTGGAGCCACGCTGGCCCCCTCTGCCTTTGTCCTCATCCCCAACACACTCTTTCTAGCTCTCATCCCTTCGTAACGCCTCTGTGTATCTCAGACTGCTCTCCATGAGCCCCACAGAATTACACCACGTACATGATAGCCTTGCGAAAAAGGCAGTATTTAGACATGAACTTCCAGGATGTGATTTGATACGTGAGTTGAAGGAATAACTTCAAAGAGGGAAAAAAGCTCAGTCACCTCCTGTAGCAGCTGGTGGTCTCACAGAGAATATTCATGCCAGGGATGTCAAGTAAGTTATCATGATCTAGACAATAAAGAGACGATGGTCCTAGCCACGGTCCTCAGGACACAGCCCTCCGTATGGATACAGAAACCGCCATATGGGTCAGACTGTAAGTCTACCTTGCAAGGAAGCCTGTCTCTTGCTTGCCTGTGCCACTGTCAGAGAGGGGACACTCTCTGTACAAGCGGACTTTTGCCTTTGGGACACAAGGAATAAGCAGGACACAGGAGCTCTCTGAACTGCACGTGCTTGTGCCCGAGCTGCCAGGCAGACCATCTGCCCCAGCGTCCCACAGCGTGGCCCAGGCTGGAGGGCATTTCTTAGAGTTTTGGAAAAAGGTAGAGTTTTGAAACACAACCTTTTTTTCATGAATAAAGCAGAAAGATCATGCCAGTCAGCCAAACTGTGATGTTTCAAGTGCCATCTACACAAAAGATGCCTGTTACCTCGATTGCCCAATTCTGTTGAAGAATTTCAGGAGAGCCAGTGCCACTTGGCTCCTCTCTGCTTCACTTTGGTGCTGAACCTCTTGTTTCCTCAAATCGGCTGTATACATCCTCCATGAGCAAAATGGCTTTGCTAAGTCAAATTTAGCATTGCAAGCAATTCATTACTGTGTTCTGACCTGCTGCGGTGCTCGGCATTTTGGACACATATAGTACGCAATACTATTAAACAACGCTTCCTAAGGATCACTGTTTTTGAAGAATGGAAATACAGGAGGAGAGATTTGGAGACTTGCCTATATCCACAAAAGGATTTGTTATTAGAGGCAGAATTAATACGTAGGTGTTCACAGCTACTAGTTTCATTTTCAGACCACTGACACATTAAGTAAAAGCAGCGATAGCTAGCAATATCCTATGACATTGTTAGAATAACCTGACACAAATACAAAAACCTTCCTTTATTATTTTTTTATGACATCTGAAAGAGTTCCCTGAAACTTAAAAAGACAAGCTCTGCTTATTCAGCACGGTACTGGGATTCATAACGTGGAGTGAGAAAGGGCCCCACAAAGACTCACTTGGAAGCAGAACTACTGTTGCCAACTGTTTACAAAATAAGAAATATCAGTATGGTTTCTGATTCAAGTTAAATATTATGGCACTACAGTTCTTAAGTAAAACTACTCCGTTCTGTTTGTGTCATTAACTGAAGTGCTCTGCCAGTCTTCAGAAATTATGATAATCAGAGATCAACAAACAGCCGCGCTGCAGACATTGCAAAGCACTCTGAAATTCTGGAATAATCATTGACCATGAAACTACCTAATATAAACTTTTTTACGCCAAGATACAGACCGTATTTTAGAATAACAATACTTGTTTTGACTGAAATCTTGTAACATTATATACTTAAAATAGCGAAGCTTAGATCTTACATTGAAGTAGTTCATCCCTGCTGGAACTATTTTAGTGCATGGAAGGGTGAATTTTTATACAATAAATGAATACAAGTGGAAAAGGTAAGACCAATGGCTGTATGTTGTAAAATATTTGTATATGATTTACACATCAAAGGGTTTGTAGCCAGAATGTTTATGACAAGTAGTATTAGTACAGACACTGGAGTGCTCATTGATTTTCATAGTTTAATTTCTCGTTTCTACTGAGAGTTCACATTTCATGTGAGTGTTAGAATAACAGCATGCATCCTCAGTTTGAGCAAATAACTTATTTGTAACACCATGTATCTTTTTGCATATCGCTTGACTAAAAGGTAATATTTACGTGCATTTAAGGAGAAGCTAAAAAAATAAATAGGAGTAGTTAGCTCCAATGCCTCCTTGTACATACATCAAATAAAATATCTCACCAAAATTACTGGTGTGCCCCATGGGGCTTTTTTTTTTTTAATCATCAACTTTCTGACATACGCATGATTTGGGATGAAATTTCCATGCAGGGACTCTGCCTAAGGGCAAGCATATCTGGAACAGTGTGGAAAAAAGGGTTTTCCACATCACGGATCAGAAGGCAGAGGTTGGGGAGCTCTCCTCAGGTGCAGTGGCTGACTTCCAGCATTAACCAGGAGGAGCTACGCGTGCCCTCGCCCTTGATAAATCACAGTACGTGAATGCCAGATGCAGAGCACGGGCAGAAGGTTGTTTTTGTTACGCTTGGAACATGCCAGGTGAGAGGTGCCAGCGCAGGCGTGGGTGCTCAGCGCGGCTGCTTTAACAGTCCATGTCTTGCTGCAGTCAGCAGAGAAAAGTGGGAGTGAAAAACTTTTCCAAACTGATTGCAGAGTGCTGGGAGGACTGCACAGACTTGCTCGGGAGGGATTTCTTTGAAGGTAATTCAGAGGTTGTTATCTCGAGCTAACGTGGAGTGTTGACTCAGAGGCAGCAGCAGATAAACTCGTGGCAGCTGGCAAAGCTCTGGCTCCAGGTATCTGTCCCTCTCATAGAAGTTGCTGCCTCCAGATAGGGACTGACTTAACTACTCCTGAATTAGTTCACTGTGCTTCATAACGCAGCATAGAAAAGCAAACTGGCACCCATTTCAGTTTGTCTTAGATAGTCAAGCCATGGCTGACAAGTATCAGGACCTGTATTTGTACGTGAGGGATGTAAAGAGCAAGGTGGGGTGACTTCATGGGTTTCTCATTCCAATTTAATTCACCGGTGCTCATGCGGCAACATGTTCAGGTTACGATGTGCACCTTATGAAACAGAAAGAAACTGTACCAATGAGAGTAAAGAAAATATATGGTGACTGGCAATTTCCAAAATCACAAAAGTGAATTAAGAGAATTTCTGGTCCTGGAGGGAAAGGCACCGACATTAATTCATAGTGACAGATGTCAAACTTTGGAGGTACGGTCACAACCCACTGGTCTAATCTCCCACAAACACAGGCCACAAAATTTCTCCCAGAAACAGAATTAAAAAACTATCTCTTAATCTTACGTAACCACAGTTTAATCTTCCTTTAAAGCAGCCCATAATGACCACTTTACTCTTCCCCTTACGAGCTGTTCAAGCACTCTCCCTGCCAGGCAATAAAGATTTAACTCAAAGCTCAATGTGTTTAACTTTAGCAGCTAATCCCTGGACTTTGTCACCCCTTCATCAGAAATCTGGTCAAAAGTCTTTGTAAAAGAAGTCTGTGAAGTGATGAAGCCAACTCTCAAACATATCTTTGATCAGCTGAATAAATAACACCCCTTAAATCCTGACTTTTTTTTAACCCTCCTCGAATTCTCTTCAGACTTTATCCTTCCTAAAATCCGGCTCTCAGAACTGGATGCTCACAGTTACAACCTCACTCCCCTTCTCTCACTTGCTGTTGCCCTTTTTGTACATCTCAGGCTCACAGTAACAGTTACTCCAACTGTACTGCAGTAAAAGCGTAAGCTGGGAACTATTTGTGGCCTGTACATCCTCCTTTCCCTGCGCAGCGTTACTTCATGCTGAGGAGCGGAGCCTGTGTTCTCATTTCCTAGAGGTATTGCCTTCTAGTTATACCATTAGTTATAGGA